CTGCTGTCAAAAGCTATCATGTAAACATCCGACCGGACGGACGGCCACTGACTATCCTATAGTGTACTCACTTTTTGAGTACACAAAAACTATAATTTGCTTCAAACCTAATATCAGATTCAGAATCGGCGTTAAAAACTGAGTCGATTAATGTATTTTGTGAATAATTATGAGCAAAAAACTTTTTTTGGAAAAATCCCCGTACCCCCCCCCCCCTCAGGGATGGCCTGGTCAAAAATCACCATTTTTTTTATAACTCAGCCATTTCTCGACGGATTCTTCTCATCTTCGAACTCGACCGAGATATTGTAAAGACTGAACTGTGTAGAAAATTTCATCGCGATCTGACTCTCCTTTCGAAAGTTATCGGATAAACGGACGGACGGCCGGACACACTGACCGATTTTAGTAGTGTACTCACTTTTTGAGTACACAAAAAAACAATAGGCAGATAAAACTTGAATAAAATCACAATGTGTGGATGAGTGTTTGAGATTAAGAAACTTTTCAAAGCATGTCGTAGCATGTGCTATGCTTCTATGTACTTCTAGGATGCAACGGCGTGAGTAACTTTGCTGAGATATCTGGTCCATATGAAGGTGTGTATGTGTCAATTGATGGCGGAAGAACTTGGGCTCATGCTAAATTGCCGTACGGAGAGAAAAATGCTGGTCTGCTTATTAATAAAATTATAATTATTGGTACACCACGCGGCCAACATGTTATTACTGTGTCAACACTAGGTGAAAAAGAGGCAAAAGTTGCTAATCGTATTCAAAATACCGGTGCTATATATAGAAGTACGAATCTGGGCGCAACCTGGAGGAGGTATAATACTAACAAGGGAAAGGATGAATATCCATTCGATATGATTCGTGATCCCAGTACACCGACAACACTATATTATGTCGATAGTTCGAAAAAAATTTACCGAAACACAGCATTAGATATCAATCTTTGGAAACCAGTAACAGATACAACGTTCATGAAGAAGGAATGTGCTCATATCAACAAAACAGATGGTTATTTTGCTGATACGATTAGTAATTCTAAATTAACGATCTATACTAATGGGTCAAAGAATATTCTTTATGTTGGTTACTATGGTATATCTACAAAATCTGAAACAACTAAAACAACATGTTACGCCTTTTACTTTAGCACAGATCGAGGAGCAACTTGGACTACGATGTTAGCTCCAAATGGAGACAAACTGTACGAAAAGAATGGAGCCGGTACAAAACAAGGGCCAGGTTATGCGAATTTGGGTACACAAGGTGAAAGGAATTTTGCCATATTAGCTGATCCAACCGATCCAAGATTTCTTTATGTGGGAGGGACTCAAGCCGAAATATTCAGAGGTGACCGAACCTTCACTGGTAAGATTGTGTTTCTGCCTGTAATGTCATATCTTTTCTCATACCTCTTGTTACCACTATTTCTTTTCAGGCAATAAGACTAATGAAAATGAAGGTTTTCTATGGTCATTTCTCCGTGATATGGAAACTGAGGGTGCTATTATCCCAATGTTTACAGTGACTGGAACATCACCACATGCTGATATACGATATTTCGATTGGGACCATTCAACGAACCAATTAATATGCACAAATGACGGTGGCGTATGGATACATACGAAACCACATGGAAAGGGAGACTGGTTTCATAAAAATGGCGATCTTTCTATAACAGAATTTGTGATGGTAGCATATGATAGTGCAACGGATACAATCGCAGGTGCAGCTCAAGATAATTGTAGTAAGTAGATTAACTATTATACTGCAACGAAATCAACATACTAAATATGAAATTACCTTAAGCACTAGCAGCGTATATAATCCTGAAACAAACTTGACGCAACCCTTCTCAACATTTATTAATAGATATCAACGTTTTGAAGTGCCTCTAGACAACTAGCGATTTCACCTTTTATTTCCGGCTTTTTGATACACACTACTTGTTTATAAGTTAGATTTAATCAAGATCAAAATCTTCTTTTCTCTGATCTTTTATCATATATACATATGTTCGTCAGTGGAATTTATTTTTTCTAATTATTTTCAACATTAGAACATAGTTATAAATTATGCTACACAGTTTAGTGATTCATCCAGAATAACAAGATTTCCTGATGAATTTGCAAATCAAAGCTCTGATAAAAAAGAATTTACATAAACAACCAATTGTAATACCATAAAATTCTTCTTTAATTCCATATCATTAAAAGAAGAAGTATAAGTTACGGCTTAAGTCTCAAGTAGAAAAGTGGTTGAACGACAAATTAATTGGTATGGTATTAAAATATGGTGTCACGGCAGCACAGTTCTAAAAAGTAGCAAGATATTGTTTTCTCAAACTAGAATCAAGCGTACTTTTAGGAGTTTTGTATCGGTACGACTCGTGAACGATGAGGAAAATGAATTGTTTTACGAGCGAATAGACTGAGTGAAAAAATTTGAAGCTTGATTTTAAGTTAGGATAGAAGAGTGTGTGGATGCAAATGAAAGAGACTAATCTGTTTACCCATATCTTTATAAATTATAGTACTACTGTTGACATCATTTTTCGATCCACTCTAGGAATCCTCCTTCTCGTTGGACTGTAGCGTTCATTCGAATTCCCCTGAGTTTGGACTCACATTAAGTCTTATGTAAGAAATAAACAGAAATATCAGCATATAAATGCTTTTCACCGATTTGGATTGTAGATACTTGATGAAAAATTGAGCATTTGTGATTTATAGAATTAAGTTGAATATTTAAATCGATATTTGAGTCAATTGATGCCGAAGTTATTAATTTTTTTTAGTCCCTAACGCTTATATTATTCTAATAGAATTAGCATGATTGTTAGCTAGCAGAACTTGTTTTATATCGTTTCTTTTCTCATCCGAAATACACTTATTTTGACTATAATCATAAAGATAATAATAGGGCTTTGTTATTTTCAGCTAATACAATAAACCGTATTACAATCAGAATATTGTTGTCACTCGTCAAAATTCACAAGTTGATAAAATTAACTTCCCATAAAGTATTCTAGAAAAGATATTACAATTCCAATATATTTACAATATAGATTTTGATAACGCAGAGTTATTCAGATTGACTGGATTTTACACAGAGTAGAGTCAACCTTCAGGTAGCCAGTATAAAAGACTTTGTTAAGATTTCGGACAATATTAATACTATTTAAGTTTCGATTTTTGTGAAAGTTTGATAATCTAATACTGAATATTCATGAATATCTTTACATTTAACTATCAAATATTCAAAATTTACATGTTTTATAGAACTAAAAGCAAAATAGCGAATTCTAAGATATTACCGTAATAATCATGAATAAGAATCCATATCTCTGGCCATGCAATCGAAATAAAAAGGCATGTTTCTATTAAACGCTAATATATTGCCAAACTTTGATAAGGTTCCGAAACTACGAAGAGAACTGTTACAATTGAAAAAATTTCCAGCAAATATACCACACTATGTCTCTGAAAAATCAGTTTCTTATTTTAAGAAACAAACTATGTGAATAGTTCGTTAATATACACTTATACACTGAATACCTCTAAATTCAAATATATCGATCATGATACAATACGAGTAGTTAAGATTGCAAGTTGATAAGTTCGAAAAGAGAAGCATTATTGTGATTGGAATGCGATTGATCTCAGTGAAGTACGACACAAACATCTTTGTTCTAAATGTGGATAGGTAAATATATGAGTCTAAAGATACACTTATCAACATATAGTTATGACGATAAGCTAAAGGTAGATGTCTACAGTATATAAGTATAAATTTATAGTCTTGAGTGTATAAGTTTAACAATATTAGTCTGAGGATATAACATAAGAATACCCATTTGTTCGATTGCGATTCAAATGGGACATAGTTACAATATGAGACCACAGAGCTGAGATTTTGATTTTTACCAATATTTTTATTCGGATTTAACATATTTTGAAATATGATGATCACATCATTGAATTATGAAAAAATCAGGGGACATTTTAAACAATGCAAAATCAAAAGACATTTCTAATAGGCTTGGACAAAGATTTTAAAAAATGTAGAAAAGAAGAACTTAGAGAAAGAACTTTTAAAAAATTAAAAGCATATATTCGGCATAAAAACTATCTATTGTCTTCTGAAGTGAGTTATAAGCGTAAGTCCGCCAAAGACTTTCTTTTTCACAATGTTTGCATGACTAAGTTTTAAGTTTAATGTGTAACCAGTCACAGATAAGGAGAAATCATTTATAACTAATTGGTGTCGGTTACTGTAAACCGTAGAAAATAAGAACTACGATACAGTAGTCGTAGTTTCTAATACCGATTCGCATTACGATCAATGCGCCGTACTTATGCTCAATTACGACTGTTTTGGTGACAAAGAAGCGTGTGCGTCTACAAGTACTGGATATAGACATTCATATAGAATTAGTGAAATTAAATGATAATATAATAAGAATAGCATTGAGTAATTTGCAATAGTTACATTGAATTGATTATAATTTGATTGAAACTCTTTGATTATGGTCGACTTAAATAAATACTTACATACTTACGTATAACTTTTTCCTGTTATTTTTCTTGTGAGGTGTCATTTAAAGCTAAAAGTAAGATTGGATGATGATAATCACTGGATATTGTTGCATGATGACTCCTTTCAGTATTTACAGCTGTTTCACACAATATATTTCATTCATTGGGTCGATTTCAATTGACATCTGTAAGATAAAGAGTTAACTGGAGTGTATGTTTTTAGTATGGGTCAGTAGGTCGTCAGCCGCAGAAGTTGCTGCTGGTAAATCCGTACCAGGCATGTTTTATACTTACAATACTGGCGATGGTGTAAATGTAGCATTTGATAGTAATCAATCACCTCCTGTTCTGTATGCCACGGACCAAGAATTCGCCAATTTTATTAAAGTACCATGGATCAAAAGCGGTAAGCCACCGTCTACACTCTTTGGAAATATACCTCCTAAGAATGCCTACTCCTTTTCCTCGACATTTGCATTAAATGCCGTTAATCCACGATACTTACTAGTTTGTACGAATCAACTACGGACCAATTATTGCAAGCGATATGACATGACTACTGGAAGCAAGAATGAATTCCCAAGCGAGAAACGTGTTCGGGATAACATAACCCTAAGTTATTACAAATATGGGGGTTATCACAATGGAGTACCAGAAGAAAATATGTTATTTGGAATTAATGTCGAACAGAAACATATCATTGCAGATGATAAAGCTGGTTTTAAATTCCACAAGTCTCCCCCTTTCGTTCAAGGAAAGACTGATATTGCTGTTGCAATGAATCCAAGAAATTATTATCAATCCTATATTGTTGATGCGGAGTCAAACGTTTGGCAAACATTGGATTTTGGTGCAACATGGACAAATGTAAAGGGTTCACTATATAGTGACATTGGTTGTCGTGAAATGCCATATGCTTGGGGCAGTATCGTTATTCCATTGGCAAAGAATAATGCTTTTGTAGTTGGAACAGCTTACGGTATTTATGTGGCATTCGATGATAAAATGGGCCCTCATACACGATGGCATAAATTAGGTTTGTCCATGCCAAATGTTTTGGTTTCATCATTTGCTTATGATCCAAAGAGAGATTTACTTGTGACGTCTACGATGGGTCGTGGATGGTGGCAATTGCCAAAAGTAAAACCACAGCTGACTTATTTGCATGGTGGTATGTACGAATTCATTTTCAATTAACAAATATGTGATAGAATTTCATATGAAAAAATAAACAAACAATCTTGTTTCATTTCTTCAATCAGTTTTGTCTTTGTCGCGGAAAGAACTGAAAAGTAATTTCTTTGTCGCCTAGATAACACTACAAGAACTGAAACAAAGAAGTTAATTTTTGAACCGTGATAGTGCCGCGTTAGGGCTTCAAACTATTTTAGCTTTCATAGTTCGATCGAACCTGACAATGCCTAATACGTTTTTATCAAGCTGTTGTCTGTACTGTGATGAGAGAAAAGAGTTCCGAGTACGCATCCATGCAAACAATGTTTTTAGGTTCCATCAAAAACCTATTGTTACATTAAAGTTCATTGCATTTTTATTTTTAACTTTACCAATTTACTGCGTGTCTTTTTTTTCTCTATTTTACTGACACACAGATGTTTCAGAATATTGACATTAGGGGTGGCACTTTATCTTTATTTCACTTTATTAAAGTAAAGTAAAGTAAAGCATTTGGCTTTACTTTACTTTATCGGGTAAAGTAAAGTAGATCTACTTTATCGGAAAAGTAAAGTAAAGTGAAGTATCTCTAACTTTATCAAACAAGTCAGATATAGTAAAATAAGGTAAAGTAAAGCATGTAGTTGATGGTTATTCATTTATTTGTTCATTATCACACATTAATCATATTCTAATACGTAAAAAGTTACGTCGAATTACAGATTGGAGGCCCCGAAAAGTTTAAACCTGATTTTATTACTTTGGAAGTTAGCATCGATCTCTGAATATTCTTCATAATTCTGTATTCTACACGATCACAACTCAAATTTTGATACTTGAGATCCCCTGAGGTATCGAAAAAAAAATTTTCTGGCTTTCCAATCACAAGTCTTTATACTTCAATAGCACCAAGTGTGCAGATTACAAATATCTCATTTATTTTTAGAAAGTA